CATGCTGCGTCCATTAGTGTAGATGCACCTCAGTCGGGTCACCTTTTGGATGGGAGAAGCCCTAATACCTTCTTGATGATACTTAGATGCACATTATTCAGATGTAATCAATCTCTCAACAACCCTTGTGTTCTGCCTGCAGCTTGGTCTGACCTTTTGATCCTTTGCTAATTTACAAGATTGGATGATCTTGCTAGTACATTCCTCCCCCACAAGCACTGCCATATTGCATTCCGGTTCCTTTTCAGTGGTCCTGATTTCACCCTCCCCCCCTTCCATACCTAGTTTAAAGCTGTCTATGAGCCCGGCCAACTCCCTTCCCAAAACCCTTTTCCCTCTGTGGGACAGGCTATTTCCATGCGTTTCTAACAGACTTGGCCTCTTGTAGATCCAGCCGCTGTCAAAAAACCCAACTTCCTGCCGGACACACCAGTCTCAGAGCCAGGTATTAATCCGCTGGTACCACCTGCCTAATCCCTCATCTTTCCCCACAACTGGAGGGATAGAGGAGAACACGACCTGTGCTCCTGATCCCTTGACCAGGCACCCCAAGGCTCTGAAGTCCTTCTTCATTGTCCTTGGAGTGGTTCTGCCTAATTCATCACTGCCTACCTGCAACAACAGAAGGGGTTAATAGTCTGAGGGCCGTACCAGGGAAGGAAGCTTCTTCCTTACATCTTTAACTCTGACCCCTGGGAGGCAACAGACCTCCCTGTGCAGCGGGTCCGCTCTGCATATCGGGCCTTCTGCTCCCTTAAGCAGTGAGTCACAAGCGACAAGGACCCGTCTTTTATTCCTTACTGATGAGGTTTTAATGCCAATAGCAGTCTAATTAGGCTTTGGCGACACCTCCAAGCAGGCAGAACCATCGTCCTCACTGTTGTCCAGTTCCCCTTGCAGAGCACTGTACCTGTTCTGCAAGGACACCTGGGGGGGTGGGGGAATAGCCAGGCAGCTGCGCTTGCCACGCCGAGCAGGGACCTTGTGCCATTGCCCCTTGTCCCCTAATTCCTCGCACTCCCTGATCCTCTTTAACCTCTCCACTTCTTCTTTCAGCTCTGCCACAACCACATCGTGGAAACTGTCGATTTCCCTCTCACTTGCCCTAATTTTTCTTAACCTACTCACTTCGTCCCTAAGCTCCAACACTTCATCCTGCCAGAGGAGCATGTCCTGGCCTCACGTGCTTGAGATGGCAGACAGTGGGGGCTCCCCGTCGTGGCCCTGAGCCCAGGGACTTGATCAAGATCTTCCAGCCAGCTTACCACCACTGGACCGTCTACCTGGGGGATGGGTACGTTGTCAATGCAGTACCCACAGATGAAGGGCCCCCAGCCTCAATCAGCAGTGCCATGTCAGTGTTCAGCAGAAAGGCCCAGGTGAGGATGCAGCTCCTGAAGGACACGGTGGGAAACGATACCTACTGTGTCAACAACAAGTATGACAGCACCTACGACCCTTTCCTGGTGAGGAGGATCATCCAGCAAGCCCAGTACTTCATTGACCAGGAGGTGTCCCACGACCTGTTCAGTGACAACTGTGAGCACTGAAGTTTCCTAAGGACGGTGGGAGACAGTGCCAAAAGCCTTGCTGAAGTCAAGGTAGATGACATCCACTGCTCTCTCCAATCTAACCAGCCAGTTAGGGAATCATGGAACACCATCAGATCGGTCAAGCATGATTTCTCCTTAGTGAACCCATGTTGACCTCTCCCAATAACTTTCTCTTCTTCCACATGTTTGGAGATGAAATCCAGGACAATTTGTTCCATCACCTTTCCAGGGACAGAAGTCAGACTAATGGGTCTGCAGTTTCCTGGGTCATCCTTTTTGTCCTTTGTGTAGACTGGAGTGACATTGGCCTTCCTCCAGTCCTCAGGCAGCTCTCCTGTTCTCCAGCTGATGGAGAGTGGCATAACAATAACATCTACCAGCTCTTTCAGCCCTCGTGGGTGCATCCCACTAGGACCCATGGATTTATGGATGTTCAATCTGGTCAGGTGGTCCCTAACCTGGTCCTCCTCTACTGAAGAAAATTCTTCCTCTCTCTAGGTCTTTACCCCTTCTTCCAGGGTCCAGGATTCATGAGAGCCAGCTTTTGCCGTGAAGACCAAAACAAAGAAGACATTCGATAACTCTGCCTTCTCTGTGTCTTCCGCCACTAGGGTGCACACCTCATTCATCAGCAGGCCCACATTTTCCCTCATCTTTCTTTTTCTATTGATATACTGAAAAAACCCTTCTTGTCTTTGATGCCATCACCAGGTCTGTCCCTTGTGCCAGCTCCCAAAAGCTTAATGTCTCACCCACCTAGTTTCCCAGCAGAAGTGAGAGCACAGGGACACTGTCCTCCCCACTATCAACTACTACATCATTTCTGGAATCAAGCGTCAGAAATCCACCTTTAGACCAGTAAGTCAGTAAGAACTGTTGATTTAAAACCTAAATCACTTAGTAGCCAGATATGTCAGGATGCAGCTGAGAACAATGTGAGCTCTTTCCTGGAGATCTGGCCTCAAGAACCTGTAACCTCAGAAGGACTAGGATGGGACAATAGCTTTTCTCTAGTTGGCACCTCCAGCACAG